TGTTTAAATGTATATAAATTATTATTTTTCTATATCTATTAATTCAAATTAATTAAATTTCATATTAGTTCACTTACGCCCCATTTGTTTAAATGTATATATACTATTTTGTTTCTATATTCATTGATTCGAATTGATTAAATTCTATATTCATAAATTGATTTGATTGTTCTCATATAATTCAATTATTGATTTGCGTGTAATAATTAATATTTAATTAAATATATATTGAAAAACGAAAAGTAATTTACTATTGAAATAATTAAATTATAGTATGGCTAAAATCGTCCAGAAAATGATTCTCACTTGATGCGATATTTAATATCAATTAAATATATATTGAAAAACAAAAAAAGTAAGGTACTATTGAAATAATTAAATTGTAGTATGACTAAAATCGTACAGAAAATGATTCTCACTTGATGCGATATTTAATATATTATAGATGTCTAATTTTCCTTGTTTTAAGGAAAATATTTTCTTTGGGGGAAGTAGATTTTTGTTTTTTTAAAACAAGGGAAACATTTTCTTTTCCATAAAATATTTTCCATATCAAGTATTTGCCATGATAAATTTTAGCGTTGGCACGTCGACCTTTTATAATCCAATATTTATTTAAAACAGAATTAAAAAAAATCACAATTTTCAAATTTGTAGGCAGCTTATTTGATCCTGTGGATTTGGAAGGTTGACCCCATTCGACCCTATAAATACAACGGTTGTACTACATGTAAATCACCACTTACAGATTAATTTACAAACACATGATGTGTTGAGATATGATTGGATCAAGATCTCTCCAATTAAATAATAATAATAAAAAAGCACTCCCACTTTCTTTTGACACTTCGTCGATCTGTAAAACTTTATGTAACTTTCTACGTACAAGTAACATTATTCTAAATACAAGACCTGGGCCGAGCCTCGACAAACAGCAATCCGAGCCTATTGACACCCTTTACATGTTATATAAAGAGGAGAAAGGGAAATTAAATAACCCACCAACTTTATGGGGACAGAATCTCCCATACAAGTAATTGTTATTGGGAAGTATATTTATGCTAGTTTCTAATGCACAATCTGTTAATAAATTGAAAGTTTTAGAGGGACTTCTAGAATTTTAGAAGTTCAAAATCAAGAAAGTCCCTGTTTTCGAGAATCAGTGGAAGTTTAAAGGTATCATCTTATGCCTTTTTTCATGGAAATTTTTATTTGTACAACCGAGGTTGACAACCTCTCACATGTGTGTGGGGTCTGCATGTTTAAAAAATTCAAAAAAAAAAAAAAAATGGACCCTCCATGTAAGTGGTAAAATAACCTCGATTGTACAACTAACATGACTCTTTTTTCATTTTAGCCTGGGGTCAGGTTCATCTGTACCTTAACAAACAACTAATGGCGACCGATAAGAAGAAAACTATTGTTATATGAGAAGAAAACTCGAGTACTTGCTGCCGAAGCCACCAGTGATTTTGTTGACGTTTTACTTAGCTTCCTCGCACTCCCATTCGGAACAATCATATGAGTCTCCAACAACAATTCAGGCACCATCGGGTGCATGAATAACTTGTACCAAAGCATTCAACAGTTTGGTACAGACAAATTCTCTACAGAAGCAAGCAAATCAATACTTCTAAACCCAATAAATTCTCAACCTGATAGCTTCAGGTATCTTAAACTCAATATTGATGATTAAAGCAACCGGAAATTTTACGCATGTCCCAATGGCATGTAGTTAAGTTATCATCCGAACGTGAGATGTTGCAAAGACTTCACAAGTTTTGAAGGTTTTTGGCAGGATGAAGGAACTTTCATTAGTAGAGATATGATGTTCGTTATTACAGATGATTTACAGGGGCTACCGGGGCTCCCTAGCTCTATGTGCAATTGATTCAAGATTCAGGGTACACTAACGTCGACTGAATTGTGGAGATAATTGTCATTTACAGGGGCTACCGTGGCTCCGTAGCTCTATGTGCAATTGATTCAAGATTCTGGGTACACTATCGTTGACTGAATTGTTGAGATAATTGTCAATGTTGGCTTAGAGGAGGTAATCTTTGATCTCGTGTCACTTAGAGCATGTTTGAAAGGGTTTCTATTTATTGTAGAAGAGCTTCCTACTTGACTACCTTAATTAGTATTTGAAAACTAATTTCTAAAAAGACTTTTTATTCCGAAAAAGCTTTCAGATGAAGCCACATTGTACAGTTTCATCTAAAAGCTCTTCAACTAAACCAAACAAGGTCCAAAAGTAATTTTTGGATCTGAAAAACTCATTTTGACTTCTCCAAAGTCATGCCAAATGAACATTCATTCATATATGCTTGTTTGGACGTAATTTCTTTCGTATTTTTAGAAAAAATATGACCGTCGTAGGTCCAAAATTTATTGCTTTAATCAATATCATTGGACACAAATATGACTCATTATTGTACGCAACATTACCTTTTCCTTTTCTTTCCCAATTTTAAGCTCCACTCCACAAATGCACAAATGTCAACACAGGGGGAGAAGTGGAAGTTGAGCATAAATATCTTAATAAATCAGGGATTGCGTTGTATTGGTGGGCCACGTGATGTGACGCAAAAAAAAAATTTCATAAGAAAATCTGAAAATGGCGCCCAGATGAGGGCTAAATTTACCTTAATATTGTGTTGTGTACCATGTATGTTTCGAAGTTACTATGTTTGTCTTGTACTACGTAGGTTTCAAAGTTGCTCAAGAGATCATTGCTATCAAAGTCTCCTTTGACTGATGTTCTTGTTCGTAAGTTGCTCAAGCGATCTTTTTAACAATGCTGCTACATGAGACAAGTACTTTTAACATCGAAGAAAAATTTATTTCGAGGAGGAACATCTAATAAATGTCGGTGTTAAGTTTAAGGATCAGTCATTACAAATTAGATCTATAGAATGTGCTGATGATCTTCTTGACCCGAAGAACTCAAATCCTAATACAGAGTGTTTTGGTAAAAAAAATTTTAATGGAAAATCAGTTATTTGTAGTGTTTGATAACTTGATAGTGATGCTTTCATCTTCTGTATCTTGCATTTCTTTCCTTAGAGAACTGAATGTACCTGTTGATGATATTGAAGTGAGAATGGCGACTATCGGACAACATGAGGTAAATCCTTTTCCACAATCAATTAGCGTAGATCATGTTAATACTTTCTCGACCCACCAATCTTCACCATCCAAATCCTTTTATCTCGAATTGAATTACTACACTCAGTATGAGAATTTGATTTGTTTATGATTCGTGTACAGGCACTCGCCTTACTTAAGGCTTCTTTAACATCATCATCTGATTTATCGAATGGCTTGAAATCCCTCTTGGACAACTAGAAACCACAAATTTGTTGAAATTCAGACAGTGTCCAGGTATGTTGATGTTTTTATTTGTCTTGGACTGATGGCGCAAATTACTATTCTTTGTAACTATCAATGCCAAATTACTTTATCCACTGTACAAAGTCTCTTTTTCTCCCATATTTACTTCTCAAGCCTCTACTCTTCTTCTTCTTGTTGCAGTGACGAGGCACGTCAAGATCTTATTGGGGATCATCATGGGTCTATTGTTTTGAATTTTCAATTAAGTTTTTGATGTGAATTTATATTAGCTTTTATCTCATGGACGTTAATCTTGAGAAAGTGAATGTAACAACTTTGTGAAGTTTAAGTGCATTCGATTTAGATTAGTTGCATTGTGTTGTTCATATATTAGAGGGATTTAAGATTTTATGTTATTCAAATCAAGATTTCTAATGAAGTTTATACGTTCTTTTCAAGATCTTTTGGTAGTGATCACATATAATTTTAAAGGATTGTTCTTGTTTAGTTGGACTCAAATTTATGAAAGAAAAAAGAGAGAAAGGGCTGCCCAATTTTACCTTCCTATTTCACTGAAATCGTGTTATAAGTATCACCATTTTTATTCTAAAAGTAACACCAAAACACACGTTTCTGAATGGAAAAGCGCTTTTTACCCAACTGATGTCTGATATTGATTATATATACAGGCCAACTTTTTGCATACTACATCATATTAATGAACTTTGATGCCTGGAATAATACTTTACTCCAAGTTCATAAGCATCTTGGATGACTTAACAACGTTGATATAATAAAAACATAATTGACAAAAATAAAAGGTGGAAAAAACAACTCCATACCAAGTTTGACGATGAATTGAAATTGACCTTGCCCACATGAGGGAATAGAATATATGGCCGAGTCTTTAAAATTGTGTAAGCATTACAACTTGAATACTTTTGGTACTTTGTATTGAGTAAGACCAACAATATAGTAAATAAAAAATTAACTTCTTTTTATTTTTTGATACTGTGTGCTACCCTAATAATCTTCCTACCATACAGGTTTGAGAATTAATTTCTGCCAACATTTGAATTCAAAGAGGGAAGCACAAGAACATATCCTTTATCATGGGGCTTCCGAAGTCTGAACTTTATTACAGTAGCATGCTGAAGGCAACGCACATTGTTAGCCTTCTTCCTGCTATCATTTATTCTTTCTCATTTCTCTCATCAAATTCTGGGAACTACCTGAAAAATGAGTTTGATAAATGATCAAAACAATGGTGCAAACAACTATTTTCAATATATATGATCCGATACAGGATACAAGTGCATAAGCTCTGTCGAATTAGCATTTGGAACAAGGACTCCAATCATCAATGTTTTACAATAATAAGGCAACATGCTCGACTCCTGGAGGCCAAAATTGATGAAATTCAATGTCAAGGCAAAACTCCGAATATTTTCAAGTTGTATGAGAAAGTACCTTGTGGACACGATACCTGATGAAGTCCGGTTTAATACTGTTAGCATTATACAAGATTGTATGACACAATATGAATCAATGGAAAGAAGAACGTATATGCAAGGATAAAACTACAAAAAACTTGAGGACTTTTACCTCCATTTATATGCACATCTGCCAGCCACTGTTGTTCGTAAAACTAAAAGCTTTGTTTCCTTTCAGTCACTTGATAAGGTCACACAATAATTTTTCAGCCATGCAGAAGCAGATTGTAGGACACGAAGTTCACCAGTAAGAAGATCTCGAGCTAACTGCCTCCTTAGAGAACCTTTACCGTACACACGAGGCATTGACCCCAGTGACTGCATATTCAGAGACCGGTGAAAATGCCGTGTCAATATTCATACGTGTGCCCTTTTAGGATAAAATGGAGATAATCCATTTTTATAGTTCCATAACTTTGACAATTTCTACAACACAAAATATAGCTGAACAGAGAAAAATGCTACTACAGCAAAATAACACAGGATTTTCTAGAACCTATATTTGAATTAGCAGTTAAAACCCACAAATTGCTGGTGGCAATATGGATGAAAATTGGGATTTCAGCAGTTCATATATTCTCAAACATTGAAACAATAATACTGTTGGTAAAATGGTGAAGAGAAACTTTCAGGATCAATTGTACAAAGCTTAAAAGAGAATTTAACTACCATTCAGCAATCATCGAGGGAAGTTTTGACTCAGTTACATTCTACTCATCTTCAGAAGCGTCCTCATATTACAGCACAAGACAGTAACTTCTGCAAACATACTTTGATATTTTAACTCGAGGCAAGTTTACCATTTCCTCCCCTTCTACACCCCCCCCCCCCCCCCCCCCCCCCTTAACTTCTGCAAACATACTTTGATATTTTAACTCGAGGCAAGTTTACCATTCCCCCCCCTTCTACCCCCCCCCCCCCCAACACACCAAACCCACCCCACCGAAGAAAATAAATAAATAAATAAATGAAGCAAAACCACAAAGAAGGGCAAAAGGAAAAATCTATTTTAGTAACCCACTGAAAGAAACAGAGGAACCAGTTATTGTCACCTTGATAGATGCATCATATTCTTCAATTAATTTAGCTATTTTTGAAAGCAACAATTGATGTGCTTCAATCTCTCTTCTCTTGTTCTTCAAAGGATGGCGAGCCAGCCGACCATCATGTTGTTCAGCTTCCTTTGCCAAAGCATTTAATTCTGTAGATTAAGATCAGAAAATTTTTATGAACTCCTTGACCATTTCAATCTACAAAAAGATACAAAAAATGTTTCAAAACCTTGCTGGGAATCGGAAATCAGAATGCGACCAAATGCACGAAGTGATTGTGGGATACCCCTCCCTCTTCTACTGGCAGCCTGCACTTCCCTGCACATTTATCAGAAATAGTTTGAAAAAATAAGTGATTACCCAAGTACAAGGTTTCATATGTAAAGCAAACGATCATTGGAATATATACAACCGCTCTTTTCTTTCTGTTTCCTACGTGGATCAGCTGTTGACTGCGGGTTTTTAGCATCGTTACGTTTTTCAGCAGAATCGAAGCATTACAAAAGAAAGATTATTCATATTCTAAAAAGAAATCAGGTTGAAAATCTAGTCTGCAAAATATTGTGTGCCAAAATGAAACGAACTTCAATATACGAAGAGTGGACAAACAAATATATGGAAAAACAGAGGTAAACGATTACCTTTATACTGATTGTAAAAGTGATTAATTCTTAAGCCACTACTTCTATAAAATAATAATAATAATAATAAGTAAATCAAAATTTACGATGCTGAAAGGGGAGAAACTCCCAAAGTACACTAGTTACGGGTTTATAGCTCTAATCTCAAAGCTCTCCAAAAAGCTCATCCAAAAATCTATACAAGTTGGAATGGACAGTATATTTATAACAAAATAAAGAATTATGGGATTTCAAGTCACCAAAAACTAGAGAGAGGAACAAATACAGAAAAAATCTTGCAAGATAAGGGGAAAAAAATGGAGTTATTATATTTGATCTGGAAGGGACAACAGTTCAACATTCAGTTTTGTTCTAATTGTAGCCATCTTTTAACACTTTTTTTTGATATACACTTATATTACTAATATATATATTAGTTTAAATTTCGTTTGGGAGAGATTTTTCCATCTGAAAAATGATTTATTTATTTATTTATTTGGAGAATTTGTGGTTAAAAAGTAGGCAAATGTTACGAGAAAACATGAAAAATATATTTTTTGAGAAATTGTCATTGGAAATGAGTTTGGGAGAAAATAATTTTTGAAAAAATCTCTCCCAAACAAGGGCTTAATTTTATTTGACAGTGTTTCCCTTGGATTCACCTGCATAAGATAAGAACAACCGCAAATCTTCATTCATATAGGGCATCATGTGTCAAATGCCTTTTCAGGGTTACCAGATTTTCATATGATGAAATGGGTTTGTCTGATCACAGTTATATTTATAGTTTGAAAGGGTATTGTGACACAGGGCAAGAATCAGTAATTTAATCACCCTATACAATTGTGGAGACTGCACCACAAGGGCAGTGAAGTGGGGAATAGATAATTTTGAATCTTACTCTCTTGTGAGCACATATTTATGTTAACCATATCCTTTCAGTCAGCGTCAAAAGTGTTTCAAGTTCTCTTGAAATCCTCAAAAATCAATTGGTAAACAATAGGAAAAGTGCTTTTAGTGCCTTTCAAGTTTTTTTTGTCTTTGGTAACTTTTGTTCTCAGTCCACAGAAAGCAATAATGCAATGATAAAAATGATTTATTTATTTATTTTATTGGAGAATTTGTGGTTAAAAAGTAGGCAAATGTTATGAGAAAACATGAAATATATATATATATTTTCCTTTTTTGAGAAATTGTCGTTGGAAATGAGTTTGGGAGAAAATAATTTTTGAAAAATCTCTCCCAAACAAGGGCTTAATTTTATTTGACAGTGTTTCCCTTGGATTCACCTGCATAAGATAAGAACAACCATAAATCTTCATTCATATAGGGCATCATGTGTCAAATGCCTTTTCAGGGTTACCGGATTTTCATATGATGAAATGGGTTTGTCTGATCACAGTTATATTTATAGTTTGAAAGGGTAATGTGACACAGGGCAAGAATCAGTAATTTAATCACCCTATACAATTGTGGAGACTGCACCACAAGGGCAGTGAAGTGGGAAATAGATAATTTTGAATCTTACTCTCTTCTTGTGAGCACATATTTATGTCAACCATATCCTTTCAGTCAGCGCCAAAAGTGTTTCAAGTTCTCTTGAAATCCTCAAAAATCAATTGGTAAACAATAGGAAAAGTGCTTTTAGTGCCTTTCAAGTTTTTTTTGTCTTTGGTAACTTCTGTTCTCAAAGGTGTCTTTCGTTATTACGTTACTATGTTAAATGACATCACTGTTGTAAGACAAAGACACCAACTTGATTGTGAAGGAGTTGCCAGAAGAGCTGAACACATTAACATCTTTTATGCTCGGTGCTTGATATCTATGCAGAAGTTTCAACTTCATTACACAAAGTTGGTCATGATGTGGCACGTTAAGCTCAATCTGAACCTGAGCGAATGATGTCCGTATATCAGGATGAAGCCATAATTTGGAGTAGATAAAGAAAGCAGTAGTCCCACATTAAAATATCACAGACGTACAGACTGCATTTAGTAAATTAGAACAAAAGCAAGAAGCTAGATACAAGTGTTTATTAATCCTAGCATTCCTCAAACAGATATGCACATCTTTACTTGGGTCTACTAGCAATTATAGCAGCACCATCGAGTTTTATCTAAAAGTGACACGGAAAATCCCAAGTTGTTACTATATATCCATGAAACAAATGCCAGTTAAAGTGTACTGTTCAAAACCTTGTACTTGCTTCACCTAGTTTCAAATGTCCCGGATACCTTTAAAAAGATGTGAAAAGAACCAAAACAGGGAAATTATTTCATTGTATAATGTTATTACCAATAGACAGAGTTGGAAGAGATGAATAATCATATCTTATAGTCTATTTACAGGTGAAGTTGATCTTTTCAAATATTTGTCTATGTTATTTATCTTGGCAGCTTGTATCAATTAACAACAAGGCACAACTACATGCTATCAAGCCACATGGGATAAATATTTGCACCAATTCAAGTAAATGGCCAAGCAAACCGACTATTGTAACTGATTTGCACAGTTTATTAAGATTTGAGCCTCTCGTTGACAACTTCAATTAATCAGAAGGCGTACATCTTTTAAAAATAGTTTAAACGTCCAATACTTCAAATGGTATATCTCAGCAAAATGTTGGCATCATAATATAATTCTGAAAGCCACACTACGATATTTGGGAAAAGGCAGCATATAAATCAATTTTAAATTGCATATTCTTCACTTCCAAGTCACATAACTTAGGGACAAAATCACGTTATATTTATATACATGCACCATAGAATCTCATATTCAGTAAACTGGCAGAGAAGTCAAACTCCAGTTTTCAACTCTGGCTTTGCAACAAAATTTCCAACTTTAGCATGAGAATTTCTTCTTCAAGCAATATGAATAAAATATTTTAACATGGATGTAAATTGGTATTTCCTCCAGAAAAGTATACACGTGCAGCCAAAAACAACAAGAATACAAAAATGGTACACAGAAACTATCATACAATAATCTGAGAAAATAAGTACACGCTTTTCCCAAAAAATATCATGGTGGACATTTCTAATTCCAAGCTTTTGGCTAACCTGATCATATATGTTGTGAGGAAGTGTAAAGCCAAAGTCCAACAAGAGTGTAGCATTAGAAAACTTTCCATACCTTATCAGGACCTGCACAGAAATTGACAATCAAAACCAAGATCGGGTATTTTGACAGGACTTGAGTGTACCAGTCTCACATTGAAACATTTGTAACCCAGAATGTAACAAGAATATTGTCTACATGAGGACTGAATAAATTGGTAGGTTGTGTATTTTTGAGCAAAATGTAACTGAGAATCAGAGCTCAGATGTCTAGCTGGCTAGTCCAGTGTGAAAAGATGGCATTACCAAAATAGAAATCAACATGGCAATACAATTAATAAACACTAGGTTCATAGCTCAGTTCCATGTTGCAATTTGAAATCAAAGAATAAAAGAGAAGAAGAAATTTTAGAAGATTGAATAATAATAATTAGCTGCAAGAGGAGAACTTTTTTCAAGTTGGACCTGATCGCCTGGAGCATAATCACGATCAGCAATAACCTGCATAGACAAGAAGGGGAAGGTGAAAAATTGGATGTAATAAAAAAAAGGACTAAAAATTTAAAAAGAAGAACAAGGTGATCATATCTTTACTGTGAATATAAAATGATGAAGTGATCTATAATGGGCGATTGTTATGATGACACACTAACACTTAAATGACACAGAAGAGTGGAGCTTTTCATGCTTCTTGTCCTCAAGTTAAGAGAGGAATATTAGGACAAACAAGTTGTGACATACTTCTATAATTATCCAGAAAGAACAGGAAGACAGAAATCTAGCAACGGATTTTGATCCATTTATATAGCTAAACAGAGAACATCTGGAGGCCAATAAAAGAGGATTATCACAAGAAGGCATAGTATCATAAACACAAAGTAACATAGAAGAGAAGACCCTAATGGGAATAATCTGGCAAACTCAGCAGCTTCATATCACACAAGTAAAAAGGATGTATATGCGATACTCTATGTGTAACTACTTGGACAGTCCACATAAAAGCTGTAATTCGTATATATGAAATAGTATAATACCCAATTTACGTGAATAATAATAATAATAATAAGAGAAATACTCATAAGCCACAATGAACAAACCGAACTCAATGAATACTACGCAAAACCTTAATTCCCCCTTTAACATGTAGTAAGCTAGCGAAAGCACAAATGCAAAAAGAGGAAGAGAAAAGGAAAAGACAAGGCGCGACTGTATCTATTCAAACTAGGGCAACCTAAATGCCAAGTTAACAAAATTCAGCCCAAATAAATTTGTAATTGTAGCCAAGAAAGGCCATTAAAAGATGGCATATCAGTGCATAATCAATTGGTCAAGTTTGAATAAGCACCATGCTGATGGAAATAATTTCACGTGAAATAACCAACTGAAAACCAGAAGAATTTGACCCAAGAAAATATTTACTGAAGTATGTAGATACAAGAGGGAAAATGCAATGGAAATGCAATGCTAGTACACATCCTGACTACACATAACATAGACATGAGAACTGGAAGAAAGACGATCCGTTTTTCCTTTTCCTTTTCTCCTGTTTCCTTCCTTCCCTTATTTTTCCTTTTTTTGGGGTGGGACGAGTTGAGTGGGGGAAGCAAGATATAGAAAGGAGACCTCTGAATGTTGTTTGCCTTCGTCACTCAAAGCACATGATTGCGAAGTGCCATCATGATTAAGAAAATCTGCAAAAGGAATCTATAGAGTACATGAAAAGCCCTACTTAGATTAGCTCCATGCACAAAATAATAGATTATCGCTTATAAGAGAAATACCATGGATACACCCTTTGAGCTTTCCCATGCGCGAGATGTAACTGAAATGTTCAAAAAGAGTTATAGCTTAGAGAGGTGGTTGGTGATTTCACACACTCAAATAAAAAAACTAAATACAAAATTACACTTTAACGGCCAAATTAGGCAATTATGGAGATATAGGCATTGCAAAAGTTATGTTCTCAGTAATATACTAATATTGAATTGATAAACGCTGATCTGATGGCAGTGTAAACTGACTTACAAGTTATTTAATTATGTTTATTACAGACAAGAAGTTACATAAAATTACATTTTTTTAAATTGGGCCAAAATTGGATAAAATGGAGTTCTGAATTTCATTTTTGGACAGTGAATAAAACAAGAACTAAGTTAATGGCCAAGCTAAAACTTGGCAGAATAAAAGTAATTGAAAATGCTTCTTCATATGTTAAATATAATTGGTCCATACTTTTGAATACTTGGCCCGCATAATTGACAGTAGTCTTTACAAGTTAAATATAATTGCTCACAGATATTTCCATTCTCATTTCCTCTTCAGAAATTTCCATCCTTTAAATTAAATATACTTGGTCCCCATCACCATTAGAGGCCTTGACTAGTTAAACATATTCCTCAATATTAATGTTCTCATTTCCTCTCCAGAATCCTTGGTCTGCCTCTTCCCATCTGCAGATTTCCCTTATTTCTGACAATTATTTTATTTTTGTTATTAGAATTGCACTGCAGCAATTCATCGTATACACATCACAGCAATTAAAGGAAATTAAAATCATCACAAAAGATATGCTGTGCAAAAGTATTCTCAGCATCTGCTACTTCAATACGTGGTCCAGATTTCATGGGAAGAACTCGGAAGGAGCTGATCATGGAAACTTGAAACTTGGATATTTGGTGAAGCTGTGTGTAGACTAGAACTTATGTAACCCATCCATGATTGGATAAATATTAACTCGTTGATGTGAGCCATACAAAAAATAAATAAATAACAGAAATGCATATCCACTAAAAAGTTAAAACATCGCTTTAATTATATTTTTACTGGAACTATTATTGATCATTTGTTTGAGGCGTGGAAAATGAAATTTCTCTACCTTGTAAATGATATTAAATGAAGCTACTGTGTTAAAGAGTAATACTCTCATTTTAAAAGCAGAATATGCAAGGAGTCAAATAATTATGAATATGACGTTTTATTAGTAATGAAACTACTTTTCCATATAAAAGGTGGAAATAATTTATATGTCCATAATATGACTAAAATAAACAAAAGTAACAATAGTATCTAACTGTTTTTCCAATTTTCATTGATTTTTTTTTTCGAATTGTTAATTGTTGTTGGGACCTAGGTGAATATGTAAGCTTATAAAAAGGGGAAACTTAAAAAGATGTGAGCAACCAGCTTTTCATTGAGATCTCGTTAAGTCTAAGCAATTCATATTTGACGTCTTGTAATGTGGTATCCTTTTTTTTTTTGGAAGCACATAATGTAACATCTTGATAAGGCATTAGATTGAAAATTTCACCTAAAGCATAAGCATAAGCGAAGTCCTGTAGTTTTACATCTCCAAAAACATGAGGGAAGTGATCAAAAGCCTGAAATCAAACACCAAACTTATCGGTGAGAAAATATATGGCAACAGCCATTACAGAATTTATTCTTGAATAGTATTAAACGTAACTAAATGAATATCATAATCGTATGTTAAAATCTGAAGGCTGAAACATGAAAGCAATATGTAGTCAAACACTTAGTGACACTTCGTGGTGGAAAGTTAGGTTTTCTAGTAGGGAAGACACTTAGCTGGCAAGTACAAAAATGACACCAAAAAAATGAAAACATTTGGCACTGCCCTTCCACGATTTATCACCAGTCAAACAGATACCAATTGTAGGTAAATACTGCACATTGAAGATCTACTTTGATAACTAAGTAAAAAGGAACTTTAAAATCAAAACACAAACCACTTTAACTGCGCAGAAATCCATCTCCATTTGAGCCTTTAGTCTAGTTGTTTCCTCATACAAAGCACTCGGTTGAATCATCTCCAACTCATCATCTCTCCAGAGTATCTACAAATTTAAACTGTGTCACACAGAACTTCTGCAAGAAATTCAGTCCTCCAAAAATTACCGGGACATTGCCACCCACGTGGACGCTGCACACCCATCAAAACTCCACATGCGCACACATATAAATATAAAGATACGTCCTAGTCAAGTTAAGCATAAAATCTGATTTTCAACTCGGCATGATGAGAAGAAATCAGAACCCCAGTAAGAAAAGAAGAAGAAGGAAGGTCAAAGTAAAATGCCAAAAACCTCGGGAGGAACGAACTATTCTAAAATATAACCAATGGCTGGTTTTTGAGAAAGACAAAATCCAAGAGAGAAAGCAAAAGAAAAAGATAAAGAACGGCACTAAGAATTGTGTGATCTTGATAGTACAAATGGAAAGAGATTTAATACTTTAACGAGATTACTCTAATGTATAAGGACAAGATTTCCTAGCCAAGGGAGCTAAGCAAAGGTAAGATGATCGTTCGACGATTAATTTACTGTAGCATGTAGGGAAAATCAAAACGAATTGAAGACAGATAAATAAACTCACCGTGCTATGCATATCTGCAGGCTGAGGAAGCCGACTGATATAAGGGAACCATTCAGAATTCTGAACAAGAAGAAGGCCAGAGAAATGAAAAATAAAATGCAAGCTTTCAGCATTTGAATTTTTCAGCAAAAGCAATCAAAAACTGATGAAAAAGTTCCTGAGATGCAAGATAACGAATCGCCAAGAATAGGAAATAACAACTCAAGCTCGTATTATAACTAGAAAGAGTAGCAATACCTGACCCAACTTCTGCTCATACAGAATGAGTAGAGCAACTTTGGCAACATTACTAACTTCACTTCCTAACGAAGAAGCAATGTCTGGAGGAAGATTATCCTTGGATAGTTGCTGCGAACTCAATCCTCTCACATAAGCTAATCATACGATAAATCTCCACAAAACCCAATTCTTATTTTTCAATAAAAAGTACGTACCACACTATAAGGAACCTCCAATATGCAATCCCAAGTTCGAATATATTTAGAAGCATATAATGACCTGCAAATATACACTATTTCAATTACATTACCCAAAGAATTAAAAATCGGGATCCCAAAAGGAGTTTTAAAACCTTCCATAAGCAGATTTTCCAATTGAAAGTACAGAAGAAATTCTCGTCCCAGCCTTGCGTTCCAACCACGGCAAAAAATCATCATAGTCCTCCTGTATATAATGCGATGCCTGAGGCACGTTTTAGCAACTCTTAGTATGTCACGCGGAATTAAGGTATCGATTAATATTGTAACAATTGGAGTTGTGGCGAACCTCAGGTGAAAAGTTTGAGGAGAAATGGCATTGGACGGGGAAACGTCGAAACAGAGTAGATAGTATAGGCCTATGATTTTGTGCCCACCAGGTGTTTGTGATCAGTACAGTTGAATTCAGCATTGCAGAACTAGACTAGGCGTGCATTCAAACTACAGAGCACTTTCGCACCTTATTATTTTGATTCATTTCCATATTATTAATTAGCCATGTTATTTCATTTCATTCCGCGTACATTACATGAGAATGATTTCCAATTTATGCTAATAGCATAGTGCTTTCGTATAAACATGTGAATCTTCAAAGTTCCATTCGACAAATTTTTTAAAGATTACAAAGCCAGTTGAACTTTATATTTTATCGTATATTTTATCGCATTCACAACTTTTATCTATTATTTTAATCTGTTGCATTACTTTTAATTGCACTAAAATCTCTAATATTTGCTTATTGTTGTACATCAACTCTCTAATTAATGTTTTAAGAATTTTATTCAAGTGCTTTATAATAAGGGCAAATATTTTGTTGATCTTTTGAATTTTTTATTCAAAAATATGAAGGACAAATAAATTATTTTACACCCTCTTAGCGAACTTTTTGAATCGGGGACGAAATGTACTAATTAATCAAAATTTGATGATAAAATACGACACAAAAAAATTGAAACATAAATATAAGAACGAACAATAATTAAAAGAACTAGATTGGTGTACCGATATTTTTCCCAGAGTTTGAGAGAGAGACATTTGGCTGATTCTCATTGACTCTGGAAAAAAACTGCCATTTCAGGCCAGTAAACTGTCCCCTGGCAATCTACCATATACAAGGGGCAAAATCCGATGAAAAATGTCCAATCTAGGCAATCGTAATCAGAATATTTGTTGATCGTGTCGATAAAATCTTTATCAATGTGCAAAAATTAACCACATCAACAGCAACATACGAGTTAAAAAGAAAAGAACAAACCAAGTGGTTAAATATTGAATATCAAACATTAACTGCCAGACTTATATTGGATAAGCCAGATGCCTAATCGGTCCCTAACCAGTACTCAAAGTCAATTTCTTCACAAACCCTTTCTGAGAAATTTTATAAAAATGTCGAATTTGTTCCCGTGAGTCCTTGAATCGTTAACACAAGAACCTAGATAATGCATTAGTGAAACAAATGATACCCTCCAAACCCGCTTGTCCCATTGCTAAAGAAGGTAGAGGACAAGCCTCTGATTCATTACCTTCCACCATCGAGTTGATTTTTGTTTTATTCCTTCCTCAAAGTGAGAGCATCTTCGACCAACCTGAGTTGATTTAAATTATATCTACACAAGAAACACATCCTTCTTTGCAAGTAGTATATATAAAGAAAAAGCAAAGACGGGGATGTCAAATGAGAAGTAATGATGGAAAAAGTTGATGACATTAAAATCTATTGTCCTAATATCAAATGGCTTATACTGGCTAGAATAGCTCTAGCAGAATTTTAATTCTGTGAAAATGAAAACAGTAGTAAGTGATTGAACGAAATCTTGAGGTGCATATCTTGCCCCAAGTAGCTTATGATGGGAGCTGAAGAAACACACCAAACTTCAGTAAGCAAGTTGATTCCTTGAAGTTATAATATCAACACTATACAGATGACCTTAAAAAGCCTGACTCCTGCAAACACATGGTGAAAGAAAAACACGACGCAAAAATTAGTTCAACCGTAGGCAACCCAAATATCATGAACCAGAAAAATAAAGCAACATAAGGACGATGATTGTTTCAGTTTAGGACGAGACTAGAACTGGTACAGAATAGGAAGCACAACCTAGTGGAAAAGATGGCAGACAAAGAGGGGGCATCTCTGGAAGTGCGTGCAGTGTTTACGAGCTTTGATAGGTCAGCCAGTAAAATTAAATATATCAACTACGTCAATAGCTTAAATCCACCTCAAATTTAGTCAGAGGACCGTAAAATTATGAGAAAACAGTTCACATATACTAATGGATTCAGCAAAGAAGGCAAGATTTGTAATCTGTATGAAAATGGGTTAAAAACACTGTTAGCCACTGGACATCCAATTCTCCATCTGCCACCGTTTGTTACACTGACAGATATGTTGATATGGCACAAAGAATACTGTGAACCAACTAGTTATTCACCTTGGTAAAATCACATATAGGTGCATAAAAGCACTTCAGATTTGAGAATTTTCCACGGGAAAAAGTTTACGATGCCGTGAAAACTAGAAGATGAATTACATCAACCCAACCTCTGCATTTCTCCTTCCCCTGTAGTACCCCCACCCTCCTCCCGAGAAATGTGACAAGAAGCCCATGATCAGACGAAGAGAATGCATAACAATGGATACACCTTTCCCGATTAAAAATATATATAACAATGGAGAGAATGCATAACAGACTTTTGGAGATGCAGTAAACGGACTTTTGTTTGGACACCAATGGCTGGTGATTTCAAGGATAAAATGGCTTGACATTTTTCAAGCAACCTCTCGGTATGGCAATGTTTGCTAGTTTCTAATTTTATTTCAATTACAATTAGATGAATCAACAAGAATGTTTTGTTAAATTTCTTCAAAAAAACATAGCCAAATCCATTATCTGAAAATATACGAGGAAGTTTTACATTTATCAAACTCCAAACTAGATTAGAATTGCAAGGTTGATGTTAATGGGTTGCAAGTTTAATTTCCATGGGTTCTAATATGGTGCAATGAACATTGAGTGTGGGAAGAACAAAGGAGATGCTTCGAAGAAGGCAAAGTGTTGGGAGTTTGTGGGTGAAGGGGTGGAGGGGCAGAATGAGGGCTGGGGATGTCAATGTGGATGGGTAGAGGGTGGGAGGGCCGGGGGAGTGTGGATGAAGAAGATTGATTGTTTGTTTTTCTTGTTTCTGTTTTATTCGCTCTTATTTATATTTTTATATATTGAAAATGAGCTGTAGAATTATCTCTTCAACCATAATATCTTATCATGCGAAAACTGCATTTCCGAAGTGCGATCCTCCTACATAAGATCTTGTCAAGGTGACAACAAAATTGGTTGACATTTTTTTATGCCATGTCATTTTTATTTTTGCCGCATTAGCTTTTTGGTTAATGTAACAAACCCAGATATACAGCAATACAGAGTGCTTAGACTAAAAGAAAAAGGAAGTTCAGTACTAACTTGAAACAAAACAAAAATGTCTGCCGACCAAAGTAAAACAGCACTATAAGTTCGGTAACAAAAAGTGATTCTTTTAACCCATAGGAAAATTCAATAGGTTTTCATAGTAAGAGATAGTGGTCTAATGGTATCTTATTCTTGTTTTAATATTACGCTAAAGCAATAACCTTACACTATCCAAAAAAGTTCTCAGCACATGGGCAGCAACAGTATTTGAAGTTAGATCCAAAAGAATTGCAATTCAATTGTGGAAACATAAAAGTGAGCATCCAATAGACAACAGTATATCTTAGTCAACAAAATGTTATCTACCTTCATACTTTTACCAGGTGAAGTTGCTTCAAAGCAAGGCGAAAACATAACACTGCTAATAGTCGAAGCTTGAGAAATGAGAGGTCACGAAGAACTTAACAAGGCAAGAAACTCTTCAGGTTCTTCATTTTCCCTGATAATCTGTTCATTAATTTCAGTCAAATGCTAAAGTTTCACGCGAACTGTTTAAAAAAGCAAAGCTAACAAGAGTAACAACCACATGAGCACATGCATATAACAATTCAAGGTGGAAACAAACTAGCAACGTGAAAGCATTTTCTCCATAAAATATATCTTGTCCATCAAGCATCCAAACCCTAAAGGGCGCATCCTAGCCAAAATTGGTAAAATAGCAGAAAGAAGAAGCAAAGTAAAAAGTATCTATACCTCAATTTTAACGTCTTCCGGCAATCCCATTTGAGAAAGAACATCAGAACTAACTCTTATCCAATCAATCTCTTTTAGACTACCTGAACTTTTCTGGCTACCTAATGTCATTTCTGTTCTATCACAACTGAAAGATCTACCCACCCATACATATAGAATTCTATCCTCGACATTGCTAGAACCTGAAGTTGGAGTGATAAGAAGGAATACAGATTTGGAATCCAAACCATAAGTACCAAAACTCACAAGCCTTTCCAAGCTAGGCCATCGACATACTACTGGTTGCATTGAGTTACAAGATGATAAGCTACTATCTATCATTATATCCAATAGACCTGCATCCTTTTCTCCCAAAAGACGTTCACATGGTTTGTCAGAATGTTTCGACGTACTAGCTTTTTCGCGGCATGTATCTACAGTAGCATCCCCACCTGAAGTTATCAGCAATCCATTCTCTAGATTTTCCCTTCTCTCCCCCTTATGCTGCATGGCATCTTCCCTACTATGCAATTCATTTGATGAAATAGCATCACCACTTACACTGACGCCATCACAATCGTTGGTGAGACCACTCGAAGGAGCACCTTTTCCTTGAGAATTATCAGCCTGCAGGGGCAGCTTGAGAGACCTTGATAAGCTACCTCTCCGCTCAGCAATGGAAAGGAGTAACTTCTCAGATGGTGAAGACCCTGGATGTGACAAAGGCTTTGAAGTAAAATTGACATCAATATACTTTGAACTTTTAGAAACAGAGTGAGGAGAAATTTTGGATGAGTGCAGGGATATGTTAGAGAAGTTAGACAGGCAGGAAGACGTTAGATTCGTACATGACACAGCCAAAGGGGATGTGGCAGGGGAATCCGAAAAATATGTTGAGTTACTGCTCGAATCAGGGGAAATAGAGTCTGGAGAAAAATAATGAGGCGAAGAAAATGAAGGTGATGATGATGACGAAGACATTGACGATGGTGATGACGATGAAAAGGATAGCGACTTTGATGAAAACAAATAATTTGCAGAAGATTGTATCTGCTTAGCTGTAGAATGACTATCAACAATCGAAAGGGAATCAGGGTAGATTCTAGAGACACCTGACTTAGAAGCAGAAGCAAAATCTTTCATATTCCCAGAAACAAACTTACGCCTTAGCATACTCCAACAACTTTCTCTCACAGGAAGGTGTGTTTCATGTTCAGCTTCAGAAGAGGCAGAAGGCGGGGCAAATCCACCAATTGTAGCTTTTCGAAATATCTCAAATTCAACGTCATACAAGTCCACTTTCCTCTCCCCTGTTGAAATATTAGTTGACGAGCCAACAACACCAACTCCATTGCTAGATGTGTCCATCAATGGTAGGAGGTTAGAGAAAGCATCCCAGAAGTATGAAGGCTCCTCACCTTCCTTAATAACTACAATCGGACACTGAGCTTTTTCATACCGAACAATTTGGCAAACAGCTCCTCGGGCATCCCTTTCCATGATTCCATCACAATTCTTGCCAACCCAAACATAAATTGTAGAAGGAATATGTATAATAAATGCACCTCTAGAATCCAAAGCAGATGGGGAAGGATCGTTAAGCATTTTAGGAACCAGATGCAAAGGATCGTAAGGTGAGTGTGGAGCCATCCTATACATCCTTAGTAAAGAACTGGGACTCAAAGGGAAAGCATGAACTCTTTTTTGGCACTGCAATAACTGGCATGCAAACCCCATATTCGGATCAGCAATTCCTCTAGCAGCCTTCACATATTGAAATGCATCATCAAAGCTTTGCCCTTCTCGCCACATTAGATAAGCAATCACCAATGATGTGGACCGAGAGACTCCCTGACAACAATGAACAAAAACCCTTCCACCCTGTTCTCTAACATATTCAAAATAGTCAAAAACATCATACAGTATGCTAGTTATATCCTCCGACGGGCTATCCTGCAACCATAATGTCTTATAAACAAAATCAGCCTTGAAATACTCAGGGCATACAAATCCCACGCAATTTAGAATATGAGTAATACCATGCTGCTTAAGTATCTCCCTGTCCCTTGCAACGGTATCACCGCCAAGATAAATGTGTTCAGCAACCTTCGAACACTCCTTGTCAAAGAAAGCAATCTTTTCTCTCTTCACAAGCCCACAGCCATTGTTATCCGGGTTTCTCTGTATTTTCGACAAATCAAGCTTCAACCTCTCCCCACCATCATTTGAGCTCCTCCCACGAGGTGTAGAAATAAGCGGCCACTCACCAACATCATCAGACCCTGCTTTAGGCCACTCATCTAAGCTCCTACGAGCAATTGCCAATGGGGGAAGACAAGACCTGGCCTTAAAACTGTGTTGAGTTCTAGGTGTTAATGGAGGAGGCATGCGCTGACCCATCCCACTATTACCGTTATTGCTGCCATCGAGATTTAAGCCATCTTTATTATCAGTGTCAGGGTTAAGTGGGGGAAGTGAAGTCCGCGAGGATGACCACGACGCCGACCGCCAATAAAGTTTCCTGCCACCAGAAACTTGGCACGGCCCTTGAGAACTTTCACTATCATCAGCACCACCACCAGTAGACTCCTCCTTTCCCAACATCCCCAAATTGTCCACAAAAATTCCAACAGTCTAAAACCCTAATATAAACGTATTGGAACTAAAAATGCATTCAATCCTTTACAAGAAAATAAAAAAGAATCACTGAACAAATCATACCCTAATCAGTTCCTCGATTTTCCTTTCCACCTGTAAAATAAAACGAGCAACTCATCAATTAGACTTAGCGATTAATCAAAAACTGCAAACCTGAGATTTGGTAAAAGAGAACAGACCCACACTCAAAGTATATACCGAATAACAAATATAAGATCCAGCGAACACATTTACATACTAGAATAATGTTTCAGGGGTAAATCAAAACACAAATGAAGTCCNACGCAGTTGTGAAGGCTGGGAAGATGAGGTCGAGGAGTGGAACAAGGCCACTGGCTGAAAAAACCATAATGAAGGCTACCAGTTGTAACTCAATCAAACGAAGGGATCCCATTACAGTGCCACCGGTGGCTGATGGCGGCTGGAGGTGGCGTTTGGCGGAGTTTGGAGATGGGGTAGTGGCCGTCCGATCAGGCTCGGAATCCGGAGCCGGCACCGGTAGTGATACACCCGACATTTTTTCTGTGTTACCAAAAAATTGCTTACACGTTACACAATTATGCGAATAATAAAAACAAGAATTTCCCAAATCCAAAAAATAAAATTAGTACGCAATGTTAAGATTAAAGAAAATTCATACGAAAATTGTATTACTCAAAGTGGAAGAAGATAAAACTGTAGATCCTAGAGAAATGGAAAAATGAGGGTCAGCACCGTGGTTTATACATTCTTGGCAAATTACAGTTACACATGGACTTTGTTTGCCGAACACGTGTAAAACAACACGTGATCTTCAACACAAAGTTACATGTTTGATTCTCTTTACTTTATTTTAATTTTTTTTTCGCATATTCATTTTCAATCACATTTAAACAATAAAAATTTATACACGTAAATTCAATAAAATTTCTTATTTTTTAACCACACATTTTTCAAAAAATCATTATTTCACAATACATTGTACCACAAAAATGGAGATCGAATATGGGCTTAATTTATTTTGTTCCAGATCAGTCGATAAAGTTTTCTATAGTTTTAATTTGACCCCTTTGACAGTTATATTAATGACATCTCATGCATACGTTGTTCAATGCCATCGTGTAGCAACGGAACATTGCTCTATTGTTATACAAGCCTAAGTCGTCTAAAAATGTATTGACGAAGCGATTAGATCCATTTTTCTTTCAATTAATTCAACACTTTTATATAACATTGATTTTCACATTCAGTCTTACTTGGTATCAATTAAAATTTAAATTTAAATTTAAATTAATTTTAATCACATGTTTTATGGGTCTCGTACCTTTTCAATCATATATTTCATCAACTTTTATCGAAACATACTAAAAATATAATTTTAATCTCCACAAAACAGTGGCTCAAAGTTGGATAAAATGGATTTGGGCTTTCATCATCCCATTTTTACGTGATTAATACATGCACGATAATGGGGTTATTATCTAGTTAGTACGTGGTGGCATAATAGCCTGCACGTAGGTTCAACATTAATCCCACTAGCAAAATGATCAAGTTAGAAACATTGCGAGTAATTTGGAGCAAAATAAAATTCAAGACCAACTTGAAAATTTACTACAGCTTAAAGGACCAATGGTATACTTAACCCAAATCTCATTATAGTGCCTACATTTTTCTTAGGGAAATTGTAGTAGCGGTCCCAAAACTTTAACTTTTTTACAAACTTTACTTTAACCTTTACTTTGTACCAACGGAGGTCCCAGACCTTTGAGAAATTAGTAGCTCGAGTCCAAATTATCCATTTGACCGTTAGTTGACCAAAAAAAGTTAACTTTGACCAATTTTGACAAAATTAAAAGGGTAAAATGATATGTTTAAAATTTCAAGTAAAAAATTGTAATAATTAAATAAATATATAAAAAAAAAATGAAAGACAAAAATGGAAGAACCCACCCCATTCCCATGCCACCCACCCGAACCCAAAAACCAAACCAAACCCATCCCAACCTCCTGCTGCCGTCGTTGGAAAATGCCTTCAACCAATTTTATTTTATTTTTCTAGCCAATTTTATGTGTACCCGTGTGGATCTATTTGTATCTATATGAATTTGTATGTATATATTGTATGGACCTATATAAATATGTATAAATCTGTATGTATTTATTTTTGTTTAATTTTAAATAAAGTTTGAATTAATTTGTATGTATTTGTTGTATGCATATGCAAGTATCTCTTTTTTGTTTTTATTTTTGGTTTAATTTTGAATCAATTTGAGAGTTGAATATTTGAAGGCACTTTTGAGTTCATCATCTTCAGAATGTGCTGGAACTCAGCTCTCTCTATTTCGATCAAAAACCCATCCCATGCTTGGTCAGTCTACCCGATAGGAAAAGCTATACTTGAAGCTGGCTGCTCTGCTATACTATACTAGTTGTAGGGCGCTAGCGCTTGACTACTAATCATGAATCATCCGTACATTCTAAATTTCGACCATCGAAGAATAAAATTTTGAAAGTCAAACCCAAATTTTGGTGAATAAAGTTCAATTACAATAGCCTCATTCCCACTTGCAAGTATAGGAGCCAATGATTTTTGCTCTGATTCTTTCTGTTCTTCAAGGTTCAAAATCTTCCTCTCATCGTTGATTCCACCACTTAATTGAAATGAGTTTTGTTAGGATATTTTGTTGTTGATGAAATTGAGGGTTACGATGCCGGGATTCTTGACTGAATTGAACAACCATGGATGCTACGAACTGCATGTGCTAGGGCTTTTTGATTTGTGTGTTTACCTCATATAATAACTGCTGCGTAGGAGGGGAAGAAGGTAATTTAAGATCTACAAGTTCTCGGTTGAAAACAAGAGAGCATTAATATGTATTTATCGACGTTGGACGACGATATGGTGACTAATTTTCGGAATTGGGGATGGGAGAGGGTGTAGGGGTGATGAAGGAAACAACCATTTTTTATTTTCTATGATTTTAATATTATTTTTTTGTTTATTTATTTAATATGATAATTTTAAACTTACCATTTTATTCCTTTTAATTTGGTCAAAGTTAACTTATCTTGGTCAACTAAATGTCAAATGAATAATTTGGACTCCAGCTGCTAATTTTTCAATGGTTTGAGACATTCACTAACACAATATGAAAGTTAAGATAAAGTCTGTAAAAAAGTCAAAGATTTGGAACCGCTGCTGCAAATTCTCTTTTTCTTATTGTACTCCCTCTTTTTGTGTGGGAAATCTACAAAAAAGTTTGTTTGTTTGTGGCGAGAAAATAAACATTTTACCTTTTACCTTTTTAAGTGAATTTTTATTACATTGGCTCTCTTTGATTACATGGAAAATAGGATTAAAGTTCTATTTGTGATAAAGGAGGACTCAATATTGAAATAACACTGAACTATTCTTATTTTATTTTTTTACAATTTTTATTTTTCTTGATTTTTTTTTAGAGTTTTAAATTTTTATAATTTTGTTTTTCATTTTTTAAAATATTCAGAAATTTCTTTTGATTCAATTTTTTATTTTTTTGTATTTTTATCTAAATGTTTATTTCTCAGGTGAGAAAACTCAAAACGTCAAAAATATATTTAGAGTTTTATATTATAAGTTGAATCTTATTTTTGAAAAATGTATCTTCAAAAATACTAGACCAAGCGAGTTTTGGATGTTTTACAAAATTAAAAACTAAAAATAACTTGAAAATAGAAAATCAAATGCACCCTGAATTTTTTAAATTCAATTTTTTTTTTGATAAGAAACTTTCATTAAAACAGGCGGATAAACCGATTATAGACAACACAAGCCAGAGTAGCTTGTTTTATCCACACATCTTACTTGACTTACAACTTAATATCTACTTATTATCGATACATACATAGAACTTACGATTTATGAACACTTCAAAATTAACTTCGTTGAGCATGTTTACTTGGTTAAGTTTTTAAGTGCTTATAAGTAGTGAATCTTTAAAGATGCAGAGTAATGTCATCCAGTGTCCTTAGTGTAGTGACATTAAATTTTAGATTCAATTAAATAAATCACACAACTTTATTTTTAATTGAATCCATCACATAACGTGCACATAAATTGGTGATCTAACACCACTGATATTAGATAACATTATTCTAAATAATTATAATCTTTTCATGATTGTGATCATGTGATTATAACTGGACTATTGTATAATTTTGTATTACTGACTCGGTACACTTCATCGGTTTAAGCCCACTTAAGTTGGTTAGATTTTTGGAAAAATTTATCAATCATGCTACATGTGCACTCTTCCCACACACATTTCGTTATATCATTTCACATGACAACATTTATACTCTTGAATTTTAAACTCGTCCATTACATCATTACATAGATTTCTTCCATATATGGAGAATGTCAACTATGTTGTAAGGAAGGATGTACACATGGCAATTCAAAATTTGTAAGAGTAAATTACGTCAAGCTTTTTCAAGATTTGAGGTTATTTGCACATGTAATTACCACATAATGTCTATATTTTTTACTGTTATTGTGAAAAACGTTATTACCTTTCATTATTTGACATTTTCACCCCCATTTCCACATTTTCATCGTGCAAAAGGTGAAAGATAGGAACATTATATACCAATTACCCTTTTAATTATTTATTTGGAACTCATTTGTCCTTTTTTTAAAATTTGGGACTATGATTGTAATTATTTTTCTTTGTCTTTTTTATTTATTTAAATAAAATTGTATAGTCGTCATTTCACAATTTTAATTAGGAAAAATAGATGAAAAATGATATTTTGCACAATAAAATGTGAAAATAAGGGTGAAAATGTCAAAAAATAAAAGGTGTGGTCGTTTTCCACAATAATAATGAAAGATGGGAACGTTATGTGCTAATTGCCCATTTTCACTCTAAATAGGCACAATTCATTCAAGACGATGAATTTTATCCATTTTATTGTCAATCAAACTCATTTTACCTGAAAGGACAAATTTTAAATGCCAAACTTGTCATTCTGATATTTTAAATTAAATTATTAAAAACAGGAATGAAAAAAAAAATAATAATAATAATAATAAAACCGAAAAAAGAAATCCTATTATCTTTTCCACCCACATCCCCTCCATCCCGAACCCCTTCTCATCCTTGACACCATCAAACAGTCACCACGCCACCGTGCAAGTGAGGGCAAATGTCTCCCCCACTTGCTTGGAAAATCACGTTTTCTCTATGATGAGGCATGATGATAGTGGGTGGTGATGATATAGTGATGATGGTTAGTGCTAATGAGAACGGTGGTGGATTGTGGTAGGGGTGAAGAAGATGCTATGATTTCTTTATTTAATTTTTCGTTTTTCAAATTTCTTTATTTTTTTCTAAAAAAATTCAATTTAGAATATCATAATGATAATTTTGTATCCTTTCACATCAAATAGATATGACTAATAGTGACATAGATAGAGTTCGTCCATTTGGATGAATTACATTTATTTTTCAGATGTTGAAACCTTGATATTCATGAAAGTGTTGAAAACGAAAGTAAAAACGAGCTCAAATGTTAGGGAACATTTTATGTAATTTATCTATTTAATAAATATGCAGATTTTGACTAGGTGTAGATTTTCATTCACCGCGAATAACAATATTTTGCAACTCAACATGCATCAACAAGATACAAAATGCAAACAACATTAATAACATAACAAATGTTTTTTTTATATCGCAAAAACAATAACATTAACATCGTCCTAACACGTCGGTGGCACAATGTTGTGAATGCCATTTTATTATACATATCTCGTATTTGTTGGGGTTAAAAAAATGAATGAAAAAAAATGTAAAAGTTAAGATTTGGTTTGGTTTGGTTCGATAAAAAATGGGATAATTATGTTACCCCACCCCACCCAATCCAACCCCCCAAAAAAAAAAAAAGAAAAATTTGCAATTAGCAATTAGTGTAATGTTCTCATTCACAAAACAGAAGCAGAAGCGGCAGAGGAGGGGGAAAATCTGGAGACCCAAATTAATTGGTTCAATAATAAAGTCACATGAAGGGTAAATAAAGCTAAAGTCTGGTTTAATTATTTTATTTTGGGTTAGCTATAATTAGTGACACCTAACCAACATATTTCGAACATGTTGACTTATGGGAGTCTAACGTTGATACCTGAATCTCGAGTGTTATCACCATGTGATTTTTTACCATCATGATTTTACCAAATTAACCAGTGCCACGTCAGTTTGTGAAGTAATAATTATTATGTGAATCTAGATAAAATTTTATCGTTTTGTGAATTATTCTTAATCGATGGACCATTGAAATTTGAGGGTGAAAGAGACGGGGAATTAATTTTAAATTTAAAAAAGTTTATTAAAATATTTTGCACAAGTAAATTATTAGTATTTTCTTTGAAGTTAATAATAGGGAACAATACATAAATAAGGTATTTAGGTATCACAATTTCAAAATTAAGGTTTGAAGTTTTAAATTTCAAAAATCAGGTTTTCATTAAAATTTATTTATAATTTAATTAATAAATTATATATTTAATTAATAAATATATAAAGGTCACAGATCTATGCAATTTGGTCACAATTCAAAAATTTTAAGGTCACAATTCAAAAATTTTATAGGTCACGATTTGTTCATCGGTCACAAATTAAAAATTTAAAAGTCACAATTGTTCATCGGTCACGAATCACAAAATTTATAAGTCACACAACTTATTTTATGGTCACAGAACATCAAATTATAGGTCACATATTACTTTTATTGGTCACAAATTAATAAATTTGTAGGTCACAAATTATTTTTAGGTTACAAAATCAAATTTTTTATATGTTTTAACTATTTTACGGTCACAATTCAAAAATATTATAGGTCACAGTTTGTTCATCGGTCACAAATTAAAATTTTAAAAGTCACAATCAACCAAATAATTGGTCACAAACACCCACAACACCGACACCAACTGCCACGACCACCACCGCCGCCGCCGCCGCCGCCACCACCCCTGCCGCCGCCGCTCCAACAACCAAAACCAATGCCTCACTACAATCAACCACCTATAGCACCACCATCACTACCGCACTTCAACTACCACCCCAACAAAAAAATCTTCAGACCCGCAACCACCATTCCCACCCGCCGCAACCACCACCCAACAAAAAAATCCCCAAATCCACAACCATTACCTCATCCGCACAATTATCCCAACCTGTATCTACAAATCACCACTACCACCTCTACCATCTTCTTCACCTCTACCACACCCATCACACCACAAACCACCACCGCCGCCAACACCAACACCACACAATATCGCTGCCGCCGACGCCACCTCCGTCGCGCCCCCACCCTAACCCCAACCCACCACCACCCATCCAGAACCACCTCCTCACCAAAACACACAACCACCGCACCACTCCAAAACAACAGGACCTCACCACCACCTCCCCGCCAAAACACAAAGAACCACCGCACCACGCCAAAACACACAGACCACCGCAACCTCATCCAAACCGAAAAAAAAACCATCCAAACCGAAAAAAAAAACCTTCCAGATCGGAACCACCGCACCCAACCCCCCACCACCGCACACCACCACCACCGCACACCACCTGCGCCCGTCGAGGGGCCCACCATTACCACCTCAGCAGTCGCAGTCGCAGCCGCATCCGCATCCAACCAATTTCAACCTCCTTCGCCTGATTTTCATCAGAACCACCCCTCTGCTCAACCATTTTCGCCTGATTTTCATCATCACCTCGCCTGATCTTCGACATTGACGGCGGTGGCGAGAAGAAGAGAGAGAGGCGATAGTGAGAGTGAAAGAGGCGAGAGATGAGAGTGAAGGAGAGGTGTGAGAGAATGTGAGAGAATGATTTTTTGAATTTTAGGGTTTGGATAATTATAATTTAGATATAAATTAATTAATATTTAATATTTAAAATGAAATACCTGATTTTTGTATAAATAAACTCCAAACCTGATTTTTGAATTGAAAATTTTAAAACCAGGGCTAGTTGTAATTTCCAGTTAATAATATTGGGTTGACGGCAATTGTCCCGTATGGGCCGGCGATAATTTGGGTGACCACAGTGCCCTTCTCTCCGTCTTAGTACACGTTTGGCTAAGCTTAAATTTACTTAAAAGTAATAAGTAATTTTGGAATAAATATTTTTTATTAATTTAAGTAGAAAACAAGTTATTTATTCGAAAATAAATTGCAATGAATTACTTTGTGTGCGGGGTTCTGAAATAAATAATATTTATTAATTATAGCTAAATTGAACTAATTAATTTAAAAATGAAAAAAATAAATTATTCATACATTATTCAGTAGCAATGAATTACAAAAAATAACTTTACTTCGTGTGTGGGTTTCCATACATTCCATCTACATCTATAATTTATGTTATCCTTTTTTTTTTCGTCTTTTTTTTCCTAAAGTTATAAATTATGTTACACATAAATAATTTAATTTGATTTTAATTGAAATTCGGATGCCTACCGAATTACTTTGTCACGTCACTACGTTTACTATAAGGCCGTGTTTGATAAGCCACATTTTTCGGGGAAGTAGGAAAATATTTTTCACTTTCCATTTTTTTGGCTGTTTGATAGGCGAAATTTTCCACGGAAAATATTTCCGAATTTTCCCCACATGTGTGCAATTTTCAAGTTTTGGATGAAAATGTTCTCCCTGCTAGCTGGAATTTTTTTTTGGGCAATAGAAACAAATGTCATAACTAATGGTAAAAAAAAATTTCACTGTAATGGACAATTTTCATGTAAAACAAAGTCAAACGAACACTAAATTTTGATTAAAAAAATGATTTTTTAGGAAACAATTTTTTTCCCTTTTTTTTTTACTTTTTGGCAATAGAAACAAATTTTATAACCAATTGTGGAAAAAAAAATCACTTTAATGGACAATTTCCATGTAAAACAATGCCAAACGAATAGAAAATTAAAAAATTTTCCGGGTGAAAAATTATACCAATCAAACACACTTGAAATTATTTTCCCTGCAAAATATTTTCTAAACAAATATTTTCCGTATAAAACATTTTATTTCCACCTATTTTCCACCCTTACAATCAAACGCACCCTAAATTTCAAATTAATTACACCGATTTACTCCTTCATTTTCTACATTATTTTTTAGTAAATTAGATCAACATAATTCTATTAACATTGTGCCCGCTAGCTACGGGACGTGTCGAAGCAATTAATTTGCAACCCACATGAATTATTTCTTGAACTAAATGGTTACTCGTATTTAGACATTTGCCAAGCCTCGTGAATTTTCTTTTTAAAGAAAAATATTGGTCAGCTAGAATCATTCGAGGCTCGACATGGGCCGCTAACTTTTGGCAAAAAGGTACTCATCTTGCTTGTTGTTGATTCTACTTTACGTTCTTAATTGAGATAATTATCATTGTAGAGGTCGACGACGCTTCGTCGAATGGTTGAAGACGCTATTATAGATGATCGATAGTTCACTAATGATACATTGAAGAATAAAATGTCATAATAAAAGAATCGATAAAATGTGTAGTTAAGATCTTCTTAGAAAAGATTTCAACTTTTATCTTTATTTAACTTATTATTCAATTATAATAAACAAGAAATCATTAATTTCGAACTCCACTTATTCGCTGATAACAGTTTTTTACTTACCCAAACATACAAGAAAAGAGCAACTTTCAGTGGTAGACCAGCTCCAGTGAGGAGTTGAACCAACATTTGACGCAATTCCACTCGAAGAAGTGGAAATCTATCCACTGAGAAAATTTAGGTTGGAATATCCAGTTGAACGCGTTTCTTATGGGAGCTTGTCCAAAACGTGCTAAAATACAGCAAGCTTCTTATTATCCTATACATACAGATGGATATGCAGAATATGCAGTGCTTTTAAATCATCCAAACCCATTAACCAGTCGTCATTTCCTAAGCTCTATTTTTTACCTGGTTTTCATCAAGATCTCAGCACTTCTTTGTATTATAGTAAGTGGACTTTCATCTAGAAATTTCAGAGCTTATAATTTTTTTTTGTTGTATTCTGTATTCTATTCCATCCTTTCTCGTTGTGGGTTTGATTAATTTCGTGAATTCTCATTCAACTCTGTCAGATTTCACCTTTTAATCAGTTGAAAACTGTTCTTTTATTGGGATATCTATGAACTATGATGATTGTCTAATGGGTTTTACGAGCTTGTATTAGATTTTTACCTGTATTCATTCTTAACAATTGAAGTGAAAAGCTAGAGGTTTGACTTTATTAGATACTGGATTTTTTTAATTGATCTGAAGATTGGATCTTCTTTATTACTAGATTTAATGGTGGAAATTGGCGGAAATTTAAAGAAGGAATTGATTTAGTGAGGTTTGATTTGATGGGGAATACTTGTGTTGGTCCTAGCATATCAAAAAATGGTATTTTTCAAACGGTTGCAGCTGCTATGTGGCGATCCCGAGTGCCGGAGAACAATGGTTCTTCAAATAATGGAAAAAGTGTGAAAAATGAGATGCCAACCTTTGATAAAGAACCGGAGTCACCAATGCCGGTCCAAAGCACGCCACCCAAACAAGTGACGATTCCAAAGCCGGAAACAAAACCAGAAGAACCGGCCAAATCGAAGAAGCCTCATATGAAGAGAAATGCCAGTGCGGGGCTTAGGACTGATTCTGTTTTACAAAGGAAAACGGGGAATTTGAAGGAGTTCTTTAGTTTGGGGAAGAAACTAGGACAAGGGCAATTCGGAACAACATTCCTTTGTGTAGAAAAGGCAACGGGGAAGGAATGTGCATGCAAATCAATTGCCAAGAGGAAGTTGTTGACTGATGATGACGTGGAAGATGTTAGAAGGGAAATTCAGATAATGCATCATCTGGAGGGGCATCCGAACGTTATATCCATTAAGGGGGCTTATGAGGATGCTGTGGCTATTCATGTTGTTATGGAGTTATGTGCTGGGGGTGAGCTTTTTGATAGAATAATTAAACGTGGGCATTATACTGAAAGAAAGGCAGCTGAACTCACTAGGACTATAGTTGGTGTGGTGGAAGCTTGTCATTCATTGGGGGTTATCCATCGTGACCTCAAGCCGGAGAATTTTCTTTTTGTTGATCAAAAGGAGGAATCACTTCTCAAAACAATTGATTTTGGCTTGTCAACATTCTTCAAGCCAGGTATGTGCGCGCGCGCGCGCGTGTTTAAGTGATTCTTTACTATTATTTAACTTGTTCCTGATTCATACTTTGCAAAATTATGCCAGTAGAACAATAATTGAAAGTTGGTGATTTAGATTAACCAGTACGGGGATAATATTGAAGTAGAAAAAGAAATTAAAATTCCGTTGATAAAATCAACATGACAAATGGTTTGTGTACTTTAGGCTTTTGGATTCATTAGACCACCGAAATCTGAATCTCCTGTGTTGGGGAATTATTGAGAGCAATTACCCAAGGCCCAAGCCCACTCCACCAGGCTCAAGTGAGGTTCCATCCCAAAACCAATTGGTAATGGGTGGAGTAGCTCACTTGGGTTATATGGTGGATTTATTTTCTTCCCACAACCGATATGGGACTTGTTTGCCCGAACAATCCTTCCCTCAAACAAGGCTCACGAGGTAAATTACCACTCATCGAGATAATCCATCGTAGCCTGCACCCACTACGTTACCATGGATCTACCATCTCATGAGAATTTTTCACCACCTCGATTTATCTAGCCACACAACCGGGCTCTGATACCACTGTTAGGGAATTATTGAGAGCAATTATCCAAGACCCTAGCCCACTTCACCAAGTCCAAGTGAGGTTCCATCCCAAAACCAATTGGTAATGGGTGGAGTAGCCCACTTAGGTTATATGATGGATTTATTTTCTTCCCACAACCGATGTGGGACTTGTTTGCCCCAACACCCTGGTTCTTTGTTGTGAAGTGATTGTGACATATCCGCTTGAGTGAGATGAAATAACTATGACTCAACTTGTTATAATTTAACCTATTATCACTTTACCTCAACTATATCTTCTTGTTCTTTGAAGCCTGGGCAATGCATCCAATTGCTCAGGTGAATAAATTTGTAAACTCACGTGCAATTTCATAGAGCTTGGGATTAGAAATGAATCGATAAGCTTTTCTTGATAATGGTTTAATATGTCATAATATTTCCATCCGAAAGCCTCTGTATTATAATTTGAGCAGCCTCAAAATGCCTTTCTTGGCAACTTTTATACTATTAATAGTCATGCATTAAACGGTCAATTGAGACCAAAATTAGTCCCGTCGTTAAGTTTCCAATCCACTTGCAAGTGGCTGCTGGTTTGGTGATCACTAAACTTCTAGCAAAGTTTTAAGTTGGTCACAAAATTTCATTTTATTTGAAGTTAGTTACTGATCTTAAACTTTGTTACAATTTGGTCACTTCATCCATATATGTCAGTTTGACTAACGGAAAATGTTTCTTGTCAGTCTGGTTATTTTCCAACTGGACAGTCACATTAGCTTATCCATTAGTCAAACTAATGGATATGGACAGAAGACCAACTAACAAATGTTTAAGTTCAGCAACCAACAAAGTTTAATTTTAGCGACCAACATGGAGCAAAATAGTGGTCAGTGACGAATATAAAAATTTACTAAATGTTCAGTGCCACCAGTGATTTAACCTGCCATGTAATTGTTTTCCATGTCCGGTATAGTTTTGCACCCTTTACTCTCCTAACCCCAGAGGAACTGGCGGATTTCTATTTCAGGGGAAAGTTTTGCAGACGTGGTGGGTAGTCCATATTATGTTGCACCAGAAGTTCTTCGAAAGCGCTATGGTCCTGAAGCCGACGTCTGGAGTGCTGGAGTGATTGTTTACATTTTACTTAGTGGAGTTCCTCCTTTCTGGGATGGTGAGAATTTTGCAAGTTTTCTCCGAACGTTGCATCAACATCTTGTTTGCGTCCGACTAATAATAGGAAGTTTTCTCTGGTCTTGAATTTTCATTTAACTGTATGGACTACAGAAACTGAGCAAGGAATATTTGAACAAGTACTCCATGGTGATCTTGACTTCTCATCTGATCCCTGGCCAAGTATATCAGAAGGTGCAAAAGATTTGGTAAGGAGAATGCTTGTTCGGGATCCCAGACGCCGTTTAACTGCACATGAAGTTTTGTGTAAGTGATTCTGATTGTCGCCTCAGATTTTCTCGGTTCAAGTAAATATTGAAGGTGTGGGTTATGGCCCGGCCCATAAGGAGCCGAGACTGGCCGACACCGGGCTTTTTCATGGTACCAGGCTGCTTTGTGCTTGAGCTTTGACACCTCTATGTGCAGGAAAGCTAAATAAGATCAGCACTAAATATTGTGGTTACTTTTCATACTTGTAAGTGAAAAAAGTTACTTATTGCAATATTCAAGGCTAATTTCAAAATAAGTAACTTATTTCCAATTTTGACTAACAAAAATAAGTATTTATATTAAAAAAAAATATTTTTTACTTTAGCTGAAGACGCACTTCTTTTTAACATTTACCTAAATGCGTCGTCTTCCCCTGGGGTAGCCTTGTCGGATGAACCTAATTGAGGTAAGCCGAAAACTTGAGCTGAAGCTTGTGCTGCAGTAACTTGAGTGAGCCCAATGTCTTACTCGATCTTGATCTCAACCATGTTTAAAAAAAAAAATCTTTCAGCCTAGTAGCAAATGTTACTGTACTGTTGTATCAAATTGAATTAAAGCATACATGTATTTGTGCATATTCACGCATCTTCATAATTAACATATATACATATGTACGTGCATATACATGCATATATGTTACTGCTCCTAGGCACTTTTACTGTGCCCTAGATGGCTAGACACCCCCTCCAAACACCTCCGCTGGTAGGTTTGACCGAACTTTTCCATTGACAAAGGTTTAAATTTTTTGGCAGGCCATCCGTGGGTTCAAGTTGATGGTGTCGCTCCTGATAGACCTCTTGACTCTGCCGTCTTAAGTCGCATGAAACAATTTTCTGCCATGAACAGACTTAAGAAAATGGCTCTTAGAGTACGTTCCTAAGTAAATTGCACTGGCTGTTATCATAGACTATTATATGCCTTAAAAAACATTTCTACAGTTCTTTGTACCTAAAATATAATGACAACAAAATGAAAAGTTAATAATAAGAAAAGTAAATTGCACTCGCTGTCTAGAAACTAACATGTCTTTTGCAGGTAATTGCAGAGACCTTGTCTGAAGAAGAAATTGCTGGCCTGAAAGAAATGTTCAAGATGATAGATGCAGATAACAGTGGCCAAATCACTTTTGAAGAGCTCAAAGCTGGACTCAAAAGAGTTGGTGCCAATCTTAAGGAATCTGAGATTTATGATCTAATGCAAGCAGTAAGTATCTGATCATTTGCTGTTTTTGAACGTTTTAGCTGGAGAGTGTAAATAGTACTATATTTTTTCAAGATGAGCTGTTATCGGCTCCATATTTTTTTATTTCCTTTTCAAAAAGATCCTTGTATAAATTTGATGCGAATAACTATTGGGGCATGCATTTCATCCCAAAAAGGTTAACTATTAGAAGCAGCCAAATTCCTTGTAAACCCAAGATCATCCCCACGTCTGGCCGATCTGGGACTCCATTTTGCATATTACCAACAACTACACCTCAAGCGAAGCACCACGCCATCATGACCCACACATGATCACTCCTCATGCGATGACCTCTCCGGTCTATCTTCTTTCAACCGAGAAAAGCAGACTAATCCCCAGTTAACATGGTCCAAACCCTAATTTGGATCTTCAACACACAACCAGGGACTCATGTTGCGCATCCATATGGCTAAGCCTGGGGCATGATTCTGTTACGAATTGTAGGAACACTAAGTTCCATCCTGAAAGATTGAACTATTAAGAGGAATTACCAATCCCCTTAGGTACCCAAGATTATCCCCATATGTAGTCAATGTGGGACTTCACATATCTCCAACAACTGTTCCAAGTCAAGAGCTAATAAATAAGAGTGATATTTTCACAAATTTATTTGCTTTTAACATATTGATGCAGTTCATATTAGCTTTTGTTTCTCATCTCAAAGACAAGCATAGCCAGAGGATGGTATGCACTAAAATTGTTCAAATCGACTTCCCTTACTGAAATTGCAGGCTGATGTCGATAACAGTGGAACAATTGATTATGGGGAGTTCATTGCTGCAACAATGCATCTAAATAAAATAGAGAGAGAGGATCATCTATTTGCTGCATTTTCATACTTTGATAAAGATGGAAGTGGCTATATTACCCCAGATGAGCTCCAACAAGCCTGTGAGGAGTTTGGCATGGAGGAATTCCGCATAGAAGAGATGATCCGAGATGTTGACCAAGACAATGTGAGTTAAATTTATCATCTGCATTAGTCTTTTTTTTTCCCTCTTTTTTTACGACCGTAAGAAAAGCAAGATGAAAGGGGCAATTCAAGTTTGTGATGTTAAACGAGTCAAGGATCTAAATTTTTTCGCATAAAATACCGAATATCTAAGAATAATTGAAATGAAATTACAACGATGCTATGGATGATATCTTGGTGTCATTTCACATTAAAATCATATTTTTAAGCAGGCATTTAAAATGCATTTATTCTCTGCTTCGATGTGTCATATGGTTCCTATTTAGAACTTACAGTGTGATTTCTTTAACTGCTTCTACAGGATGGACGCATCGATTATAATGAGTTCGTTGCCATGATGCAGAAAGGGAATCCAATCATTGGCGCTGGTGAAAAGGGCCTAGAGACAAGTTTCAGCATAAATTTTAGAGACGCGTTAAAGCTTTAACTTGAGTTATGGAGAAACAACTCGATTCTTTTTTATTCAATTTTATCTTTTTTTTTTCTTTTCCAAAATTTTTTTTCATGTTAAAATAGTATAGTAAGAAGCCCTGGTGGCCAGTTCTTGTCATGCAGTGGCCTTGCTCTTTCAGGGACCTTGTTAAATTCTTTCCAAGTTTACTTTTAATTTGTTTCTGTAACTGTTTCTGGCTTAAAATTATACATGTTTTATTTTTTAGCATGCTTTGACGACTTACAATTTTTCTTACTTTTAAGCAAAAACTATTTTTTAAGTAATTTTTATTTATTTTCTAAATAAACCAACAAATAAGTTTCAATATATAAAAATAATTCTATAGGCGAAAATTAGATTTAACAATTTGTGATTTTTAAAAAGAAATAAATAAGTTATTTATATTCACAATACGAAATTAGTTTTAAACGAAAGTAATATTTTTACTTAGCTGACATTTGAAACTGATTTTTTCAAGTCATTTTTTCTCTATACTCATTTTCAACTACAAATTTAAAAAAAAACAAAAAACAAAAATCAATTTTCACATTTTTTTCAATAATTTTTTATACTTTTTAACCACCATCCAAAAAATCACTCACAAGAACTTAATGTATATATAAGAAATATTTAATGTGTTTGGAGATAAATAATTTTACTTTTTACATTTTATGAGGGCATATAATGTTAATTTCATAAATAGTCAATGAAGTTTGTGTGGAAATTTAAATTGATCCTTGAAGTGTTTTTCTGTCTTGTCTAGTAACATTATACATATGGCTACTCAATTAACAGAAAAAAAAGGTCTAATTCTTGCCCGTTAAATGCTAGGACGGTCTCCTGAGATGTGCCATTTAGATTAGTGAGATAAAACATGCACAAAATACCCCCCCCCCTCCCACCCCCAACAAGGTTGGACGTTCACCTTTATTACTGTTTTTAGTGTATATGATATAGGCGATTGACTAAGAATTAAAGAGAGATGAATTATAGATTGTTTCTTATAACAATTCAATTTTTTGATCCACACTGTAATTCACGGACTGAATTTTAGTCTATAATCTACCTTGACATTAGGGCATTGTGTAAATATGGACAATAGATGTGCTATCGAACTGATCATTTGTGTAACGCTAAGTAACAGTTGTGACTAATCATTTGTGCAAAGTTAAGTAACATTTGTGACTAATTGGGTTAGAACAATAATTTAAAGACCAGCTTGAAATTTCGCATAAACTTCGCTGCCCATTTGCAAAATTAACTGCCAATCACAACGTTCAGATTTACAGTTGGAGAGTACGCAACGCGCGAAATCGATTTTCTCGATCCGGTAACAAATTACAAAACCCTAATAATTCATCTTTCCCTCTCCGTCTCTCCATTCGAATTAATTCGTACTCAACACGAACTTCGTAATCAAATGTCGACTACCGGCGAAGGAGACGCCGCTGCCACTTTTTCATACGAAGGCGGAGGAGCGGGAGGGAAGTTCCGTGAAAGACCCTTCCGGAGAACTCAACAGAGGACGCCGTACGATCGCCCCGTCAATACCCTCCGAGGAATCACAGCCACCACCCCCAATGAAAATAGTGGTTGGTTAACGAAGCTTGTTGTGGACCCCGCTTCAAATCTCATTTCCTATGGGGCCAACCGAATCTTCTCCTCTGTTTTCCGTAAACGCCTCCCCGCTCCTCCTCGGCAAGAACCAGGTTACGCTCCCCCCTCTATGTATGTACTTACTGGTAAAAAAAAAATATTTTTGAGCGGAAGTTTGATGGTTTTATTAGTTAGGGTTCATTTGGCGGGGGGAAATTATAACTTGAGTTTTGTATTAAATATTTCTGTTATTTATGAATATAAGTGCACGGAGGTATATGATCAGGGAATATGATTTTATTTATTCCAGTAGGCGGTGAATTACCAAGGGTTTGTTGCATTGAGCAAATGATAGTATATTTAACTTATTTCCTGGGATACTTTACCTTCCTTTTGATTCTCGAGGTTTCCTCGTGACGTTTGAATAAGGCCTAATGTACTTTGTAATGTAAACAGAGGCTAATCATGAATTGAGTGGTAGGTTTCAAGGGACAGTTTCTGAGGTAAGTGTATCTCCTTTCTTCTTGTTTTTTGTTATTTTTTCCAATTCCTTGATCATGGGTTTGTTATATTTGTAGAATGTTGTATTAGGAAAGTTAGGGGTAGAAAGCCCATTTCATAAAATTGTTAAGAGAGTTCAAGGGTAGAAACCCATTTGATAAAGGAAATTTTATAGAGGAATCACATGGGTCAGAAGTTGGTAAGTCTAATAGAGAGAGAGGAAAGCATACTAAAATGTGAAAAATGTAAAAGCTTTGAGAAGTATAATTAGCTAAATGGAAGCCGGGACGGTTATTCAGATGTCCTTGTTTAAAATGCACGAGAAGTTATATAGTTATCCTATAACCTAGGATGTTCGAATCCCCTCAGAGCTACTGAGGTGAGTAGTCGACTGTAAATTTCAGGGCCTCGTGGAATTAGTCGAGATGCGCGTAAGCTGGCCTAAACATCCACGATTATAAAAAAAAACCTAGGATGATGAAATTGTTTTTATAAGATATATTGACAAATGGAAAAGAAGTATGGACATAAACTAACATAATTGTATTAAGGACTTGAATAGAAGAGTTTGTTTAACAGCGATGAGACCAAGTAAAGATGGAGGGATTATTTCAAAATTTTATTTAATGGAAGCATAACATGGATTGTAGGGATCTATTGAACTTTATTGAAGACATGAATGGAAATTATGCTAGCAGGATTTGGGTTTTGAAATGAGGAGGTTATGAAGGTGAAATGAGGTAAGACATTGATTTCGAAGGAATCCTATTGACATGGATGTCTTTAGGTAAGATGAGTTGTTTTTAGTTAATGAGCTTAAAAAAGGATGTTTGGGATGTTTTTATAAAGGGTTTAAATTGTAAATAGATTGAAATGAGTGGTGGATAAGTGGGTAATACTTGTGGTCCTTCAAAATGTGGGAATAAAAAGTGATTTCAGGGTTTATAAGCAATTTATAAACATGAATCAAACATACACTAATTAATGCAATTTCAAATAGCCAGAAGATGCTTGACGAGTGGAGATATTTAAACTTATACTAATTGTGGAGGCATTAAAATCACGTGTCATACTTTGAACACGTGGGACGAAAAACATTCATTCCTATGTGCCTTCATAATATAACAAATGAACAAAATTAAAAGTCCAACTTGTAAACAAATGTGAAGATATAAACAAAGTAGCAGAAAGTAATGTCTTAAATTAGTAATTACACAATAAAATTGCTATCTACTATAGAAATAGAAACAACTTAGGAACCTTCCGTATGAACAACATTACTAATAGTGCCTTTTCCTTAAAGATGGGGAAAGGAAAAGATTAAAAAAAAAACAGTAAAAGTCTACAAAAAATTGCGTAAAAAGTTGAGGCCAATAATAAAACTCCGGATTAGGCAAGATAAATGAGTGCACAACTAGCTCTTCCTTAGGCACCTTGAGGCGTTAGCCTCAGTAAATCAAGTTGTAAATCATTAAAATGGCAATCAAGATAAAATCTGTAAGATTAGGAGAGTTTCACGAAAGCCTTAAATGAGGCGTGTCTCAAGGTGTATGGCTCAAACAATTTTTTTTTACAATGAAAGAAGACATTTGTGTTCAATTTGTTATGGATGCTCTTCAATGAGAAGTCCAATTCTAAGTAGTTCATTTTAGGAAAGCAACCTTTTTTTTTTTTGATAACCATGGATATTCGGGCCAGCTTGCGCGCACTTTGACTAATCCCACAGGGTCCTGAAGTTTACGGCCTGTTACTCACCTCAGTGGCTTCGAACGGGTGACCATTGGGGAGCAAAACAGGAAAACAACCTTAACAGATGAACTATCTAACTTCCTTTGAAGGACATTTACAAAACACCTATAAAATTATAGGTTCTTCTAGCAAAAAAATTCTCAGCTGTACTATCTAACTTCCTTTGAAGGACATTTACAAAACACCTATTAAATTATAGGTTCATCTAGCAAATAATATCCTGTGAAAGCACTTCTTGCATAGTCCATTAATGTGAACTTTTCATGTAAGAAAGTGGTCCAAACACGCACTAAATTGCTAGCTAAATTTTTAATTCTGCCACTGCCAAGTTCATATGTTGAGTACTGCACGTTTCTTATTCAGATTAATATGTTATTTCTACCATTATTCTTGAGGATGCCACCCATTGTGTTTTTAAAGCTGGTGAAGGTGATTTGCATTTTTTTTGTTATGGGTGAAGAATCAATCTGGGGGACAAGAACCTGCAAGTGGTAATGGCAGCCATCTAATAAATAGATGTGTCAGTGGTGGGATCTCTGAGCTTGAACAATTGTTAAAGCAGAAGACCTTTAACAGGTAAGCTTCTGCAATCATTTGTCTGCAGCGTACATGCTTCGTGTAGTTTTTTCTTTTGCAGGTTTGCATAAGAGTAAAGTTTATTTAGAATTATTTCATTATTTGTTATTTCTGGGTCTTTTTGTTGCATTCACTTACAACTAGAAACAACCACCACTGTTTGGTGCAACACCCATATTTTGATGTATTCTTCTTTCTGTCGTTGGTACTTCGTTCTGTCGTATTCAGAATACGGATCTCATACTATCCCCATAAACTGAAAATCCATAACACCTACTTCCTTGTCTCTGGGTGCCTAGGTATCCATCGAAGCCTTTTCTCATTTGAACCTCGCCGTTCTAAGGCTATGCCTATTCCCTTGACCCGTATGGAGGAGAATTTGACTCCACGAGAAATTGAACAAAAAGCCACAATCTTTCTATTAGGTAATCTAGTATCCTTATGCATGAAGGTAATCTAGTATCCTTATGCATGAAGATAATCTCGGTCATTGTGGTCGCGATATTCACTTGGCCAAGAGCATCCCCTCGAGTAAAAGATTCCACAGATGGTTGACCTAAAGTTGAGAGTTA